TTTTTTTTTTTTTTTTTTTGAGAGAGAAAGCTTAAACTTTAAAGGAACTTAATAAGTTTTTGATAAATGGAGAGGTACTCCATAGTTAGTATTATTAGGTGATTTAATGTTTTTCTTATTGGAGTAAAGTATACATAAAATTTGCCATTTAACTATTTTTAAGTATATAGTTCATTGACATTAAGTTACATTCATGTTGTGCAGCCATCAAAGCATTCATCTCTAGAACTTTTTCATCTTCCCCCAAGTGAAACTCAGTACCTATTAAACACTAGCTTCCCATTATCGTTTCCCCTAAGCGTCTGGCAACCACCATTCTGCTTTTTGTCTCTATAACTTTGACTGTTCTAAGAACCTCATGTAAGTAGAACCATGCAATATTTGTTCTTTCATGACCAGCCTATTTCACTTAGCATAATGTGTTCCAGGTTCTTCCATGTTGTAGCATGTGTCAGAATTTCCTTCCCTTTTAAGGCTGTATTACTCCATTGTATGTATAGACCACGTTTTGTTTATCCATTCATTGGTCAGTGAGCATTTAGGTTGTGTCTATCTTTTGGCTATTGTGAATAATGCTACTATGAACATGGCTGTACAAATATCTATTCAAGTTCTTTGAATTCTTTTGGATAAATACTCAGAAATAGAAATGCTGAATCTTGCATATTCTTCATTGAATACTTTTAGCTTCTAATTTTATTTTCTAATTACACTTGTATAAAATTTTATATTGGGTCGTCGGGAAAGTCGTGACGTATTTTTTATGTTTTTCAATGCAAAAATGCATCATGACTTTCCTGATGACCCAGTAGTAAAAGACTTAACATCATATTGTGATGCATTGATTATTAGCAACATAAGGACTATTGACAAACCAGAAATCGAATCAGCTATTAAATCAAAAGTTGTCTGACTACTACTCTAAACAAATTTCTATTGTTTCACTTGATTTTTTTCTTGCAGTATTAAAGCCTTGGGGTTTAAAAAACAGTAGTAAAAAAGGTCGGATCAAGTTTAGGAGATGCAAATACATAGTGTTGAGACGCACTTTAGGAGGAAAACCTACAGCCACATATTATTTACTTAATTTATGACTTACTGGATCCATGTACATAGTTTCAGCTGTAACTACTATGCAGATGACTCCCAAATCATTATAGCCCCACTCACTTTGTTCAGCTACAGATCCTGCATGTTCAGCTGCTGTCAGATTTAAGCCAAACTCATTCTGTTCTATTTCTTCCAAAATTTTTATTTCTTTTAATACTCTATGGTCTTTGATTTCAGTTTGTGGTCTTGAAACATCCCATATGTTTTACATTATACATTAATGCCCCTACACTGCATTTTTCGTGCTAAATCTAACTTTGTAAGAGAGTTGACAAATGAATGACCTATTGCATGGAGTGAGGTCTGCCAACCCACAATTTATTTTTATAATTTTGTTATCTTTGCTTCTATAGCAGTGTTTTTATATGATTACTGCAATTTTTTTTTTTTTTTCATTTTGCCAGTGATTTTCAATCAGGTATCATTTTGTCCCTTGGGACATTTAACAATGTCTGGAAACATTTTTGCTTGTCATGAGTGGAGGCTGCTACTGGCATCTAGTGGGAGTGTCGCCGGAGGCTCACGGAGATGTCCAAGAGAGGACTCAACCCAGAGCAGTGGTGACTGGGCTCTTGTCTCCATGCAAGAAAGAATTCAAGAGTAAGACAGATGCAGGAAAGCAAAAGTGAAATGAAAGGATACATTTGATAGGAAAGTGCGGGTGAACTCAGAGAATGAGTCACCCCGAGGAAGTCATGGTCAGGGGTATTTATACCTCCCAGGGCAGGAATTGGTGATGTCCCATTGTCTGGGTTCATTCATCTCCTCCCCATGGGCTGAACCCTCCCTTTCCACTTTTTCTTCCTTATTTGGTTCCTCCAGAACTGTCATGGCATCAGATGCATTTTGGGAGTCATAGTAACCAAAATGTAAGTGAGATTATAATGACATTATAATTAACTAAAGGTCAGTTCCTGGTCATAGGTGTCAGCCTAGCTGGATGAAACTGGTTGTTGTTTTTCTCCAGCTGCAGGTATTGGATAAAGTCATTTGTTACTTGTGTAACCCCGAGGCACGTCATGTTGTACCCTAGAGAGGGTTGTCAATTTCCTAAGCAATCTATCCTGCCTCATAAATTCCCCGAGAGATTTTTGGACCTATTATATGGGTTGTCAAGGGACTGGAAGTCAGACTTTTGTAGCAGCTTTAGGCTAAGATTGGCGTCAACCCTACCTAGCCTGGGACTGAAAATTGCTACCTACCTGATCTAAGGGGTTAAGCCCTCCCTCCAGTGTGGTTTTGTTGAGGGCACCACTTTAAATCCCTGGAGGACCAGCATCTTTATGTGGAACTGCTGTAACCTGGAGGAGACAAATTTGACGAGGTTAAAAAGACATGGTCCAAATCATAGTGGAAGTATTATTGTATAAAGATCAATGGTCCTAGCAGGGGCAGAAACCAGGTTATGGAAGGCAAAGAATACTTTTTACAACCTGCCAGATGGAGTCACCTGTTGGATTTTCCCGTGCGAAATCTTGAAGCCATTAGGCTTGATCATATATCTTTTTGATATCTTCCTTATTTCCTCCACATCCTTCTAAATACATTTGCATTCACTTCATTTCAGACCTTCAGATTCCTGTCACTGTCCGTGGCTGAAATCCATCCCAGTAGAGTCTTTTACCTTTCAGTATATTGGTCACACTTGGTGCTTCAAATAAGATTCACATATGGCACTCCCTCTTAACACCAGTTCTTATTTAGCCACTTCTTCTTCACATTCTCTCTACTTAGCTTATATTTCTCTACTTAATATGCAAGTCTGTCATTTTCCAGTGTTCTTTATACTGGTCCTCTTTAATTTCCTTCTCTACTCAGACTTTAATCAGCTTCCTTATAAACCTTTCTATCACCCAAGTCCTTTAATTTCTTCCAAATTGGTGCTTCAAGAGCTAGTCTACTGCTGCTTCCTACTCTAGTCCTTGCTTTCTTCATACTTCTCATTAGAGTATGATCTTATGCCCCAAATGTGACCAACTAGACCTGTTTTGAGCCGACAGGATTCCCACTCTTGATCCTCATTCCACACCTGCTCTGCCTTGTAGACCCTCCACTGTACAGTGTTTCCTTTTCTTTCTTATTTCATCATGAGTTTGGTCCCAGAAATGCTATCTATTACATATCCAGTAGTCAGAGAGGCCACTGCCCTTAGCTATTATATTAGAAAAGTTTACAAGAGTGTTGGTTTCCCAATCCCCCCCAGAGAGGCTGGGAATGAAATAGAACTAAGAAGATTAAAATCATGCTGGCAGTTTAGTCTGGTTGCCGAAAAAGCAATTGTGAAGTGGGGTGCCAGGAGAGGCACAGGTGATGAGAAAAATAAGAGCTAGGAGAAAAACAGAAAATGACAATTAACAAGTTGAGTCTTCCATTGATCCCTGGCAGGGAATAATAACTTAGGTTCTTTTGTCCACCATCTCAAATCCTGGACCATATGGTATCCTTCATTTGGTTTTTTTACAAGCAGTGTAAAGGTGTTATAAGAGGACCGGACCAATGGTATTGTCAGCCCATGATGAATCTTGCATGGGTATCCTGCCATTTCCTTTAGTCTGATCTTTATAGGAGGTACCTATGTAGCCTTTCCAGGCATTCCCTTATCCCATACTATAGGATTTATAGCTGGTTGTATATGAACCAGGATGGGATCCTGGTTGAGCCAGGGTATGAGGCTAAGAGGGACATCAAATGATTGGATTCCCAGAATGAGTCAAAAAGCTATATGCTTGTGCCTGGAACCATCATTAAATCCCTTCCCATTAAGGAAATGGGGCACTCTGGCATAATTTGGAATTCCTAAGAGACTAGCTAGTCTCAGAGGTGACAGCAAAGGAGTGGGGGTAAAGTATCTTTTTCTGGGTTGGTCGTCTACCCCAGGGATGATACAAACTTTAGAGGTCAGGAGCCCTGCATGATCTGCCAAGACAAAGTAGGCGGATCCCATATCAATTTAAAAATCTATTGTTTTACCTGTTATATCAAGGATCACCCAGGGTTCTTCCCTAGTCATGAGATGCCTTTCATGAAGAGCCACTAGGAACCCCGGGTCCCTTTAGTCCTCCTCAGATAGGCCATTACGAGTTTGGGGGCTCCTCGTTCCGTTCAGAGCAGGGGGCATGCCCTCTTCCAGTGGCCTGATTGGTAGCATTGAGGATAGGGCCCAGTGGGCTCTTCCCTGGGACAGGGACACTGGTTGCTCCAGTGCCTTGGCGTTCCACAGTTAAAGCAGACCCCCTTTGGGGCTGCAAGGAACTCCCTTTAGACCATCTCTTTAACTCTATTGGGTGACCCTGAGGTTGCAGGGTGCTGCTGACAGCAACCGCTACCATTTGAGCCTACCGCCTGGCCTATCTGGTATCACCCTGGGTCTCGATTAATTAAAGACTCTGAATACCATATCCAGTAATTGAGCCATCAGGGTCTGAGGGCCATATTGAAGTTTTTGCAACTTATCGCTGATATCAGAAGCAGACTGACCAAGCAGATGAAATGCTGGCAAAGCAGAGATTGTACCTCAAGAGAGGAAGGATTAATATTGGTAAATTATTGAAGACCTCGACCAGCTGAACCTGGAACAAGGCTGAATTACCCCCCATTCCAGAGTAACCTCCTTGACTTTTTCATAATTGACTGGTTTGACTATGCATCTTTTTCATACCTTCAATTAGGCAAAGCATCATATGGTTCCTTTTAATAAGGTCTCCCTACTTTGGTTCCTTTTAATAAGACCTCCCTGCCCCAAATATAATTCCAGGCAGCGTCCTGATTTGGGACCGCAGTTACTTTCACTGGATGTCTGCCTGGCTGGGACATCCTATCTGCATGTCCTTGGGCTGAGAGCCAGATTCTGTGTTTTTCCTCAGGAGTGCAGCAAGTGGACATGACTATCTGGATATCTCTCCAGGTTAGATTAAAAGACATTGTTAAAGCCGGAATTCGTCAGTAAATTTACTTGGGTCCTCAGAAAAGTTTCCTAGGATCATTTTGCATTGGGCAAGGGCTGTCATGGTTAACAGGACGTGGATCCCTAATGGTCGCTGCATCTCCATTTGGAACCCCTCTGAGTAGAAATAGCTTGGTAGAATCCAGGTGATAAGAGGCTCCACTCCAGTACGTCCTGCAGGGCTATGTTCAGCCATGCCTTTTGGCAAGTGGGTGTATAGAGAAGCATAGGGTGGAGGTAAAGTAGGAGAACTTTTAGGTGGAGTAGAGGGCAAGGGAGAAGCTGAGGAAACTGGGTGTTCCGGCCCTGTAACTGGCTGCTTTGTTGGATTCCTTCCCTGCCAGGACAGTAGTGTTCCCGACAGGAAGGGGTCATCCTCTTGGATTATTTTCAGGTGGGGCAGCCAGGGGAGTGCAAGCATAGCAAATTTTACAGGAACCTCTCATCTCTGGGTTTTGATAGAGGGCCGTGAAGGCCCATACATACGGAATCTGTCCATTTTCTTTCTCGTTTACGAAGAGATCTAGTTGGGGAATTGTGTTATAATTTAGGGTCCCATTTCAGGCCAGTTTTCCCTGTCCCCTAGTTTATATTGAAAAAGAATTTCCCATGATGACTGGAGCAGGAAAACAGAAACTAGAAGATCAGACTAGGGAGCAAGGCATTCCCTGGCTCTTCGTGTGTTTGAACAGTGGAACTCAGGCATCCTGGGATGTACCTGGGTGGTCCACAATATCATGAGCTCTCGACCCCCAGTGATTCTGAGGTTTAGAACAGAACAGAGGTTTCCAGGCTGGATAGTAGGATGGAAGGCATGGAACCTTGCAGAATGGCTTTGGACCTCTCCTGAAAAAGGACCTCAGGCTGCTCAAAAAAGACCTGAAAAAGGCAAAACTCCTAGAGTAAAGCAGTGGGCCTTGGTGACAGTCAATGGGAATGACAAATGATCTAAAGATTGATTGGATTTTACCTGTAAGATCTGTCAGAGGCTGGTTTCCACACTGGTAATTAAATCTAGTCTGCAGCAGTGAAAGCACTGAACCCTAGCCACTAAACCACCAGGGAAGACTAATTCCAGGCCCCCAATCAGCACCAGTATATTGGGGTTGCCATGGGCAGTGGACTTACAACTGTCAAACCCAGAGGCCTACAGGAGACCAAAAGGCAGGAAAGGCAAAAGGGGGCGCAGGGGATAGGGCCTGGTCACAGAAGCAAGGATGGAGCCAGAAAAGTGATAGCAGGATCTGCAAATAATGAGCTGTAACAGATACTGGGACAGACAGACAAATGGATCCAATGAAAGAGAAATCAAGATGACCAACTTTTGGGAAGCTGTACTAATCCTGATACTACAGGAAATTGCCATGGGGAAAGAGGAAAAGTATGATTGTGGAACTGTACTTCGTTGCACAGATATTGTCTTGATGTTAGGGGGACTCCTAGAGCCAATCAACCCCAATCCATGACCAATTTATCCTGTCATGGGAATCTTCAAGCAGCAAGCACTCAGATGGCTTTTAAGAGTTTGACCCATGCCCGCAATGCATCTTAAGCCTTCTGAAGGCGGTATGGGAAAAGGAAAGAAAGCAGAAAAACAAAAACAGCTTTGTTCTTACCATGGGAAGATCAGTCCTGACACTGGCAAGGAGGTCTCATCTGGTTCACCAGAAATGTAGCCAGAGGTTCGTGGAGATGTCCAAGAGAGGACTCAACCCGGAGCAGTGATGATTGGGCTCTTGTCTCCATGCAAGAAAGAATTCAAGAGCAAGACAGATGCAGGAAAGCAAAAGTGATTTATTGAAAATGAAAGGACATATTTGACAGGAAAGTGCGGGCGAACTCAGAAAACGAGTCATGCTAAGGAAGTCACGATGAAGGGTATTTATCCCTCCCAGGGCAGGAATTGGTGATGTCCCATTGTCTGGGTTCATTCATTTCCTCCCCATGGGCTGGACCCTCCATTTCCCACTTTTTCTTACATGGGTCCTCCGGAACTGTCATGGTGTCAGATGCATGATAGAAGTCATAGTAACCAAAATGTAAAAGAGATTATAATGACGTTATAATTAGCTAAAGGTCAGATCCTGGTACTAGGAGTCAGCCTAGCTGGATGAAACTGGTTCTTTTTTTTCTCCAGCTGCAGGTATTGGATACAGTCATTTGTTACTTGTGTAACCGGTAAGGCACCTCATGTTGTACCCTGGAGAGGGTTGTCAATTTCCTAGGCTATCTATCCTGCCTCAGGTGGATAAGGGGAAAGGATGCTGCTAAACACCTTAAAATGCACAGGACAAAGAATTATCTGGCCCAAAATATCAACAGTGCCAGAGTTGAAAAACCCTGCATTGTGCACTTATGAAAAAGAATTTAAAATGAAAAAATGGGGTTTGATGACACCTTTTATTTATGTGACATTGATAGAAATCTTTGTTAACCTCTCTGCTAATTTTGTCTTATCATTTCTACTCACAATTTTTCTTTGTCCTGTTGCCTTCACTCTTTTTAAATCTAACTTTAAAAAAATTTTAACTATTGGGTTGTCGGAAAAGTCATGATGCATGTTTGCAACAGATGACGCTAGTTCATTTTTGGAAGTACTAGAGTCATTCACGTCTATGTTATTGCTATGTCATTTGACAGCTGATAGTTCTATCTCCATTCTAAAAAAAAATTGAGTGATTTGGTTGAGTTTTGGAGATTTTACAACAAGTTGAAGATGGAAGACCAAACTGCATTTTTGCCATATTTTAGTTTTCCTTCCATAAAGGGGAGAATGTGCGTCAAGCTTGTGAAAAGTTGCATAAAGTTTATGGTGACAGTGCTGTACAATAACATCAGTGTCAATGATGGTTCACGAAATTCCGTGCTGGTGATTTTTATCTCAACGACACTCCTCGGTCAGGGAGGCCCACCGAGGTTGATGACAACAAAATAAAAGCATTGATCGAGTCAAACCCACATTCCATGACGAGAGAGATTGCAAAAACGTTGAACATCCATCATTCAAGCGTTCACGACCACCTGAAGAAGCTGGGATACGTAAGCAAGCTCGATATTTGGGTTCTGCATGAACTCAAAGAAGTTCATTTGACGGCACGTATAAACATCTGCAATATGCTCCTTAAACAGGAGGAAAACAATCCTTTTTTGAAGCGACTGATAACTGGTGATGTGAAGTGGATTGTTTACAACAATGTGGTGTGCAAACGGTCTTGGACCATACGTGATGATTCACCTCAAATGACATCGAAAGCAGACATTCATCAGAGGAAGGTTATGCTCTCAGTGTGGTGGGATTTTAAAGGTGTTGTGTTTTTGAGCTCCTACAAGGAACCAAACAATCAATTTGAATGTGTACTGTCGGCAATTGGACAGTTTGAACGAATCCATCATCCAGAAACGTCCAGAGCTTGTTAATTGTAAAGGAGTTGTGTTCCATCGCGACAACACAATACCACACACAAGTATGATCACCCATTAAAAATTATTGGAGCTTGGATGGGATGCCACACCCTCCGTACTCACCTGATCTTGCGCCGTCAGACTTCCACTTGTTTCACTCTCTTTAAAACTCCTTGTGTGGTTTTCAATTCAGATGAGGCTGTAAATCAGCACCTTGTTCAGTTTTTCGCAAATAAAGACAAGTCCTTCTATGAACAAGGGATTGTGAAGCTCACTGAAAGACGGCAAAAGGTTATTGAACAAAACAGGCAATATATCATTAATTGATCTTTGTTCTTTATATAAATAAATTACCTTTGACGAAATACGTCATGACTTTTCCGACGACCCAATATTTATGTAAGCCAACTTTATATTTTTCTGTAACAAGGTCTAAATATGTATGAAATAATAAATGAAGTATACAGAGACTGATTAGAATCAGATAACAAAGGGTGTAGTGAGCAAAGGATGTTTATTATTTTCAGGGGAAGTGTTTTTTACCCACCCCCCGCCAAGAAAAAAATACTGTTGTTTGTTTTTTTGCTAAAGTGGTTCATGGCCTTTTGAAAACTTCTTTGAAAATAAAGTACATAAAGAAAATAAATAAAAAGAAATCCCACCCATTTAGTGAACCATGTCTTTTTGATGGTTTGGCTTTATTCTCTCTCTGAATTTGATAATCAGATAATTTTTCTGTTTCTTTTCTCTGATTGTTACCAGGACACTCAGTCACTTATCGGGAGTCCCTCAACCCGTATAGCACCTCATATTATTGGAGCAGAGGATGATGATTTTGGTACTGAACATGAACAGGTGATGATATTTTTTTCCTAAAAAACAATTCTTAATTTTCTGAGACGTTTGTTGCAAAAATGAACACTTTCTGGAGATTGACATATTTTGAAGGATTTGATGCTAAATCTTATAATTAAAATTAATCGGTGAATTGCATGGGTAATTGCTTATTTTAGCTTTAACAAGTAAAAATGACTGCTTTTAAAAGTGATGTCATTGGTTTATACTTAAGGACTTCATTTTGGAAGAGGGAAGTATTATAGTAAAGGGTTTTTTTTGTTTGTTTTTGTTTTTTATTTCAAATTTCAGTCGTTTATTGATGGTATATAGAAGTATGACTGGCTTGATTCTTGTCCTTGGTCTTGCTAATAAATTCATATACTACTTCTAGTAGCTTTTAAAAATAAATTTGGGATTTTCTACATAGACAACCATGCTGTCTATGACTAGAGACAATTTTTATTTTCTTATTTCAAAATTGGCTTGTTTTTATTTCTTACTACCTTTATTGCACTGATTAGGACTTCCAGTATGAGGTGGAATTGGAGTAGTAGACAGGATATCTTTGATTTATTACTGATCTTAAGGAGAAAGCATTCAGTCTTTTATCATAAAGTATGATGTTATTATAAGTTTTGTTGTAGATACTTTTTATTATAGATTAAAGAAGTTTCCTTATATTCCTAGTTTGCTGAGAGTTTTTATCATGAATGGATGTTGAATTTTGTTACATGATTGGGATGATTATATGGTTTTTTGGGGGCCTAGTCTCCTAATATGGTAAATTACCAGGGATAATTGGTCATAATGGATTTTCCTTTTTATATAGTGCTAGATTCAGTTTTCTATTATTTTGCTGAGGATTTTTGTGTTTGTGTTTATTGGTATGTAGTCTTTTGTTTTGTTTTGTTTTTAATTTCTTAGTCTGGTTTTGATAGTTGGGTAATGCTGGCCTCAAAAGTTTAAAAGTGTTACCTCCTCTTGTATTTTCTGAAAGAGATTGTGTAGAATTGATATTGTGTGTTTAGATTAACTTTATTTTCACTTTCATTTATTTAAATGTGAAAATTATATGGACATTATGATTCTACTTTAACTATTACTGTTTTCTGTTTTCAACATAGTTAAGGAATATACAGGTATTCTAGGAGATGTCTTAAAATCATACACCTCCCATTTCCTACCACCATTTCTGCAATTAATCCAAAAGAAAAGAAAAACAGCTATTTCATTATTAGGCAAAAGGCTTTCTATTACATTTTTGCATATTGATTTGTAGACAACTCAGCACCCTGATAATCATCTTCTAAACTTTAGTTCTCCCAAAGTGTTCTTTCTTGCAGCCTATCCCCAAGAGATTATTAATTTTCAGAGGAAGAGATTCCATAGCCTGTATTGCTAATATTAGTAAAATTTTTTAAATCTTGAATTTTTTTAGGGTAGATCAAAGTGAAATTTGGATCATTATATTTAATTGAGCTTACATTACATTTTGCATTTGTGTTGGAGTTATTGATGTATGATTATTTCTTTTTCTAGATCAATGGGCAGTGCAGCTGTTTCCAGAGCATTGAATTGCTAAAATGTCGCCCTGCTCACTTGGCTGTTTTTTTACATCATGTAGTTTCACAGTTTGACCCTGCAACGTTGGTAATATATTTTACAATTCAGCCAATTCAGAGTTCTTACATTGATCCACAAACCATAAAACTTTTGACTTCTGTAAGATAAGTGGGCAGACCTCTTTCAGTTTTCCATACATATTAGGATAGATATGAAAGATACTTAAAATATTATTAATTTATTTTTTAAAGACTTTGTTACATGGTAATGATTACATTGTTTATGGTCATCTACCTGTTCTAAACATTCCTACTCTGTGAGAATCTAACAGATTACAGTTTTCAGGATTTCTCACTTTCTCTTTTCCATTTTCTTCTCTACTATAGCTCTGCTATCTCTATTCAGACCTTTATAAACAGACCAATTCCAAGGAGACTCGTCGCATCTTCCTTGAGTTTCATCAATTCTTCCTGGATCGATCTGCAGTAAGTTACCAAGTTGATATTAAAATCTTAGTTCTAGTACATTGAATTATTGGCCTCTTACTTCTAGTCTTCTGTGATTTTGAAGTAATATTATTGTACTTTGTGACATCTATATTATATCTCAATTATTGATTACTTTTGACTATTATTTTATATCACTTCTTTTTTTTAATTAAAGTTTATTGGGGGTGACAGTGGTTACTAAAGTTACATAGGTTTCAAGTGTACAATTCTGTAATATATCATCTATATATCACATTGTGTTCACCACCCAGAGTCAGTTCCCCTTCCATCACCATATATTTGATACTGTTTATCCTCATCTACTACCCTCCTCCCCCCTTACCCTGTGGTAACCACTAAACTATTGTCTGTGTCTATGAGTTTTTGGTTTTTTGTTTTGTTCTTTGTTGCTTTCAGTTTTCTCTCCTACGTATCAGTGAAATCATATGGTTCTCAGATTTTTCTGTCTGACTTACTTTGCTTAGCATAATAATCTCAAGACCCATCCATGTTGTCACAAATGGCACTGTTTCATCTTTTCTTATGACACAATAGTATTCCATGTGTATGTATACCACGTCTTCTTTTTTTAGTCATCTATCAAAGGACACTTTGGTTGTTTCCATGTCTTGTCACCGTCAATAAATCTGCAATGAATATCAGAGCACATATAGCTTTACGGATAAATGTTTTTCAGATATTTTGGGTAGATACCCAGGAGAGGAATTGCTGGGTCATATGGTAATTCTATTCTTAAGTTTTTGAGGAACCTCCACACTGCCTTCCATAGTGGCTGCACCAATTTACATTCCCATCAGTAGTGTAAGAGGGTTCCTTTTTCTCTACAGCCTCTCCAGCACTTGTTATTACTTGTCTTGTTGATGATAGCCATTCTAACTGGTGTGAGGTAATATCTCATTGTGGTTTTTATTTGCATTTCTCTGATGATTAGTGATGTTGAGTATCTTTTCATATGTCTATTGGCCATCTGTATGTCCTCTTTGGAGAAATGTGTATTCAGATCCTATGCCCATTATTTAATTGGATGGTTTGTTCTTTGTTGTTGAGTTTTATGAGTTCCTTATATATTTTGGATATTAGCCCCTTCTCTGAGACATTGTTTGCAAATATCTTCTTCCATTCAGTTGGTTGCATCTGTATTTTGCTGTGCAGAAGCTTTTGAGTTTGATATAGCCCCATTTATTTATTTATTTTAGCTTTTACTTCCATTGCCTTTGAAGTCAAATTTATAAAATCATCTTTGAACCGAAGGCCCATAAGCTTAGTACCTGTGTTTCTTCTATGCAGTTTATTGTTTCAGGTCTTATGTTTAGGTCTTTGATCTTTTGGCATTAATTTTGGTACATGATGACAGATATCAGTCTAGTTTCATTCTTTTGCATGTGGCTTTTCAATTCTCCCAGCTCCATTTATTGAAGAGGCTTTCTTTTCTCCATTGTATGTTTTTGGCTCCTTTGTCGAAAATTACCTGTCCATATTTATGTGGGTTTATTTCTAGGTTCTCAAATCTATTCCATTGGTGTGTGTGTCTGTTTTTCTGCCAATCCATACTGGTTTTTTGTGGGAGGTCCTGGGCAGGGTTGTTTTTGTTTGTTTGTTTGTTTTTAATTAATTTCAGATATACAACCCAGTGCAGTAGCTATACTTTTTACCCCTCAAAGTGGCAACCCCATCCCCCAATCTGCTGCACCACTCTCCCCCATTTCATACATATCTATTACAATTCCAGTGACTCCACTCCCACACTATACTCTACATCCCGTGACTATATATATATTCAATTAGAGTTGACATACAATATTATACAACATCAGCTTCAGGTGTACAGTGCAGTGATCATAAAAATTGTATTGAGATATCAATAGATGCAGAAAAAGCTTTTGACAAAATCCAGCAGCTATTTATGATAAAAACTCTTAGCAAAGTGGGAATAGAGGGATCATATCTCAACATAATAAAGACCATATATGATAAGCCCACAGCAAACATCATACTCAATGGGGAAAGGATAAAAGCTTTCCCCTTAAGATCAGGAACAAGACAAGGCTGCCCATTTTCACCACTTCTAGTCAACATAGTTCTGGAAGTTCTTGCCACAGCAATCAGACAAGAAAATGAAATAAAAGGCAACCAAATTGGAAAGGAGGAAGTAAAATTGTTATTATAATGAGATGACATGATACTATATATAGAGAATCCCAAAGACTCCACCAAAAAACTGTTAGAACTGATAAATGAATTTAGTAGGGTAG